GGGGAGGGGTGGCATGACTAATATAGACGAGAGTTCTCGGAAGCTCAGCCATCCCTAGAGAAAAGTGGGGAAACTTCTTAGCTCTGCCCCAGATATTCCCTCTGCTCTTGAGTAAGTAATAAAAATTGTTGTACAACAGTCACCTGTGCATATATACTAATCCTCTGCCAGCATTAGTCTGTTCCATAGCTTTAAGCTAAATGCTGGGAGCTACCTCCCTCAGGACTCACATGCTGGTCTTAACTGAGGCTTTGGGGCACTCTATTCATACAAATTCACAATTGTTGGCAACTGCAAATTGCTCAAAGATAAAAAGAGAGAGAATCCAGCATGGTCTGTTGCAGAACATCCTATTCTTGTTTTGGCAATGCTGTTTTCTGATAAATTTGTTCTGAAAGAAAGCCTGGTTTTAATATGGGTTTCAACTTTTCTCCTGTCTGGTTTCGAGCCCAATCCCACTGACAGCACATGAAAAGAGAAAGCAAAACTCAGAGTACCACTTACAACTTCATTTTCTAAGTTAAAGTTCACAAACAGCCAAGCACCAAAAAATAAAAAAGCTTAAAATCCCACTCCAATATTAGAATACTTCATTGTGAAGAAGAAAATAAATATGTTTAACAGGTTTTCAGCCTTTACTTTCAAGTGAATAACCTTTCCCTCTCCCTCAAATCAAACCACCCTCACAAGATGTTCCTGCAAAGTGTCATTTCTCTTGCTGTGTGGTATTTTCCCCAACAGCAAGCATCAAATGAGCAAGTGAAATTCCTACCTTTCTTGTTTGAGCATTTAAAGGCTTGCCATGACCAGCCTCACAGTCCTCCACGTTATCTTCTTGTAATTCAATAATCTCATGCTCCTGACCAGAGCTTTGCCTTTTCATAGCTTCTGTCTCTGCGCGAGGACCTCTGTGTCTGAAGCAAGCACGGAGGCAACTCATTTCCTTCTGGTTTCAGCAGCGATTATGGTCAGTAGTAGTTCTGGTATGAGGCTGGAGATGGTAACAGTGAGAGTTGGGATAGTTTTCACAGGAGTGATCTCAAAACACTGATAAATAAGGGGAATTCCTTGAAAGGGCAAATAACGTCATCTGCACTAGCCACAGAGAAATGGGAGGCGGAGGAAGTATCGATTTGCCTAGCCACCAGAATTACAGCCCTCAGCTGTGCAATACTAGGTTTTCCAGTTTGTCTACCTTACTGTACCAGCCCTTGACAAGCACAAGCAGGTGACTAAACCTTCAGCAACGTTATCATTTGCTGAAGCAATTTTGAAAGGAAACAGATTGCTTTCCCTGCTGCTGTCAGCCGAAACAGTAGAATACTATTGCTGTTATCCGCGCAGATAAAAAAACAGATGTGGTTCTGAACAGCATAAACTGAGTAAAGGATCACATAGCTTGTGGTTCAGTTAGGCTGTGAAGGGAACTTATAATATCCATCAACACTTCTAATTTTAGTCTCCCTGTATAGTCAATAAAGAAATGAATGTTACTGACCATTGTGCTGTGAATTGTCATCTCTCTCTAGCTGTTATATAGCCCAAAATCACGTTTGGTGCGAAAGATCCATTTATGTCTATTCACATACTATCCAACCTAAACCTGAGAAGCTGCTTCCATGTAAAAAACAAAAGGACAAATCTGAAGAGAGGAGGAAGGTGGCCTTCAATTTCAGCTTGTGCTCTACAGGGCATGCTTTTAGGAAGCAAAGCATGGTGTGAGTTGAGATCTGGCCTGCGCTAGTTTCCCACATGAACTCTCCCATGCTACTTAGAGTCACTCAAAACAATTTATTGCAGCCAGGGGCTGATTCCTCCCCCCACTCCCCCAGTATCCTTCATCCTACTTCCTCTCATTTCTCCTGTTCTGTCTCCATCCTCATGTTCCTCCTTCCTCCGCACAGGGCACCTCTCTCCCCTTTGGATCAAAATGGTTGGGCAGGCAGCTGGTAACTGCACTCTCGCTCACTCTCTTGTCGCAACACAGAGAGGATCATGGATTAAGAGGAAAACAAAGCCTCTTTCTCCAACTACCTCTCTTGCTGGCTGAGCATCCACTCACAGCACTGCTCCTTCTTTTTCCTGCCAAATGCTGAGGATACTTTTCCTCCCCCCAGATTTTCCAATTGTGCAACTCATCTGGCTACTGATGCCTGGAGCGTTGCCCGGGGGTTCAGATTCCTGATGTCGGGTCACAGCTATCCAGGCAAAGGCACTCCATCAAGCTGAGCATATGGCTTGGTTTCATTCAGCGAATAAAAAGAAATACAAATTGCATACCCCACATTTTGGTTCTGGAGAATCCTTAAAACTCTGGAGGACTGAGGATGAAGCTGAGCAGTCTTCAAGATCAAAACGTGTGTCTGGATCCACAAGATTTTACCTGGGACATCTTCACTAGAAAAAGTCTTTACCTACTGGTTCTCAGTATTCCTGCTGGAGATGAGCTTCATTTATTTCATTTCCACTCACAGTAAAAGACCTTACCTTCCTACTGAATTGTCTGAAACCAAAACAGTTTTTCTAAGTCAAACGAGTTAATGATTATGGATCCCACCCTGCAAAAGCCAAAGTACTTTTATTTACATCTGTGAAGGAGCTCCTTACAAAATCTTGAGTTTCTTTCGTCTGGGTAATCCAACTTCCACACTTGGTGCCTTTCTTACATGTGAAGTAACTGACCCTTCTGATGCATGGAGCTGAGAAACTCTTAAAGAAAACGGGAAGTCGAGAACTGATTTGAACTTTCTGGCCTAGGCTTTTATCTAAAACAGAACAGCAGGAAAACTGGTTTTTTCTATAGTGAAGACATCTCTGGTTTCAATATAAGGAAAAGAAACATGCCCTTAAATGTCCGCTTTAGTAAAACAGGCAAGTTAGGCTCAGCTTTACAAAAAGACAAAACTCCAAGGTACAAATATAGTTCTGATTGCAGCTGGGGATTAGAGTTTCAGAGGCGCAATCAAATGAATAAAACATAGCCACTTCATATTTAGCATGTGTTTATTAAAAAGGAAGATGTGAATGACTGACTAGCCTTTAAAGATACTAACCCCCCTAAAATATAGGTTTTGAGTATAGCTTATGTAGTAAGTTTGACAAAAGCATGGGGGGGGGGGGGGGGGAGCCCAAAAGGGGGGGGAATGCCCACCAACACTAGAAGAAAGGAAGGAAAAGCAGTATCAGTGTCAGACGCAGGAATCTCACTGCATGCAGATTACAGTGCTAGCTCATTCCAGTGTTTTCCCCACATGCTGACAAGGTGGGTCTAAAACTAAACAAGGATCACATATTTATGTACCGTAGAATAAGAGTGTGCTGTGTGGACAGCAATGACTGGTATTCAAAGTGCTGGCTTCATTTTTTTTTTTTTTTTAATATATTAAAGGTGAAAGCTAAACACTTCTAAACACTGAGCACAATTTTAAGACCATCTAGAAAGACCACCTAGACAGATCTTTTATTAAACTGAATACCAGCATTCTTAAGTCCCATAAACAGCTTTGGAAACCTTAAATCAGCTAGATTTGGGCTGATAGGCTCATCAAGAGATTATAATTATCAAAGCTAGATTTACTGCTAGTGTTAAAGAAAAGTGGCTGTCATTTCCTCTTCTACTTTCTTTGAGTCCAAGGATGCATCCAACCACAATAAATCCCTTTTCCTTTTATGTCCCTTTCAATGTCATGTGGCCACGTGGGCATAGCCCGGGAAGAGACACAAACCAAAAATCCTGACCCTGAAACTCTGCTTGCTGCAGACCAAGGACATCAGGAAAAGCAGCACAAACCCACCAGGAGCGTGCTAAAATTCACAAAGCATGCCAGAGCCAGAGCTGGGGAAATACACTTGTAACATAGTGCAAACATCAGACCTTACAACTACGTTCAAATTGTAAAGAGAATGTAAGAAAGCACCAAAGTTTCCTTTTGTTTTATTAATTAAAACTGAGTATTTCTTTCCTCTTATTTAAACGTCATCCCAAAGAACCTTAATGATGCTCTTCTGGTTCTTTAATGAAAATTTCTTGCATCCTAACATTCATGAGCTATATATCTGATGTTTTCAGGAAAACATATGAGACAGCCCAAAAGTTACAGCCCAGAAAGGAACAGTCGTGCAGTGGCAGCATAACTAAAGAATGAATTAATCTCAGCTTTGTACACTATACTGATTATAGTACTTTTATTTTCAAGAAACATGAAATAATTATTTATGTTTAGAATCCTGTAACATCACTAAGGTAATATATATGAATTGAGTATATATGGGATGTGGCCATAAATACCCAGATATGTGTATGTGGAAAAGTATATAGATATATACATAGCAAGGGAAATGAAAGGAGAGGAGAAGATTTACAAAAGAAAGATTTGGCTGGATTTTTGTTACAGGTTCTAAACCATTTTATGTTGTTTTTAAGGCAGTGCTGTTTCTGCTGCTGGGGATAAGGAAGATGAATCCATAAGGAATCTGAAGTTGCTCTGAATCTGAACAGTTACTGCTAGGTGAACAACAAATGATAGTTTCTTCATTAAGAAAGTGCATTCTTTCACAAAGAAACACTCGATGGCATTTTCATGTTATATCATTAGAGATGGCCATAACAGACTACTGTAGGAAGCAGCTTTCGTAAGGGAGATGATCTGCATTTTCTCCTTGGCACATCAGTTTGTATTCTGACGAATCCAGTCATAAAGTGCCGTCACCTTAGTGTATACACCAGGACGATTGCGTCGAGCACATCCTTCACCCCAGCTCACAATGCCAGCAAGGTACCATCTATTTCCCTTTCCTGTACAGGCCAAGGGACCTCCAGAATCTCCCTAAAATGAAGGGAGTTCAGCCATTAGTGCACGCGCACACACACACAGAGCACTGCAACAAAAGTTAGGTTATTTAAGGACAGTAAATACCTGCCCCTCTCTTGCTCAAATTACAATTTAATATTAGAATCTTATTTCTGGATAGAATGTACCCAGGTAGATGTAAAATTTATTCAATTTATTTTAACTTATGGAAGTAGCACACTAATCAATATAAAGCAATGGCAAGAAGTTGTTTAAAAAATTACTCATTGCTAATGTCCCATTACAGGATTCATAAAGCAACTGATCACAGGCTGAGTGGGGAGAGGAGAAGACAGGGATGGGAAGTGGGAATTCTGCTACCCTTTGACCATAAATTTTTCACAGGTTGAAGGCAGAACTCTTATACCGTCTATTAAATAGGAATAGAAAGATACCACACAACCCCAACAGAAAAAACAACCAACCAACCAACAACAAAAAAAAAAACCAACCAAAAAACAAACAAGGCACAATTAAGTATTATCAGCAGTTTCATAATCAAGACTGTGTCTACATTCAAAGAGGGAGTGGAAGAACAAAGACTAAGGAACACGCAAATAAGAACTGGCTTCTTAAAGGGAACATGCAGCTCTGTACAGCAACGTAGAAAAGTAAAAATTCTCATTTAGTTTGATTCACAGGATCAAAATGCATTTGGGCTCACAAATGCTTTGTGCCCTTCATTGTTTTAACCTTGTGTGCCTTCTGTGAACAGACCAGTTCACAGAACTCCGAGCAGTTATGAATGCAGCTCATCTCTGCAGCTGTTCCTTATGCATACAAGGCAGTCGGCAGCCTCCAAGTTGACCCTGGGGTTTGTTTGCTGCCCCCGGTTGGAGCTAAAACGTGGAAGAGGTCAGAAGAAAGCCATGTACCGAAAAAAGAGTAACAATAGAAAGCCTTCATCACCCAACGAAACAAAATTATCTAGAGATAAGAAAAGAAGCCAGAACAGTTCTTCCTCTCTCTCAGGCTGCTGTCATACTGGCAATTTTGATAATCCAAGAAGCTGATCTCAAAGTGGTTTGAGAAAGCAGGCTATATACCCTGGCCAGTTCTGAAAGACTGAAGGGGCTGTATGCTGGTAGAG